TCCACAGCCAGATATCCAACTCCCTTGAGCCATCCATCCGGCTGATTCTTCTAATACATTACTGGAAATCTCTGGCACATTTTGTACTGGCAAAAATGCTTCTTTCCCACTCATTCAAATTGTGGTAGGACCCCAATCATTTTGTAACATGCATGCTATCTTGAGCCAGTTATCTGGTTCAAGATGATAAAGGTCCAGAAATGTACTTCCCACTCCCAACCTACTACGATTGAAGTGTGTAATTAAAATTAAAATTGGATATAAAATATTATGGAACCTTAAAAAACTGACAGAACAGAGTAATCTTTACTGTCCGTCTAAACAAGGTACAAAGTTTGACCTACATTGGGAGTGAGTTTCATTGAGGGATTGCTACTACAAAAGAAAGCAAAAGAGAAAAGACTTGTGTAATTGACCCACCAATCTAACCTTGTGAAACTTGTGAAGGCAAGCAATTCAAACTTTGAGTCATGAGTTGTTGGCTTAATTCATCTTTAAAATCTCTGTGTTTTGTCCAGCATTATTTTATTATTGCATTAAGCCTTTAAAAACAAAACACAACAGCTGCATGCACCATTCTTTAACTGAGCAGCCAGTAGCAGTCTTTCCAGAGAAGCTACCAAAGAAGAACAGAGATCATTTCATTAATAGTGTTTGTGCTCTTCCAGCGGCTACATCCTACACAAATTTGTACAATGTCCTAAACTTTCCTGCTGGGATTGTGCCTGTCAGCACGGTCACCAAAGCTGATGAAGAAGAGCTTAAACATTACAGAGGGCATTATGGTGACCCCTGGGACAAGAGGTTGAAAGAGGTTAGTGTATCTGAGCACAAAAATATATCAGCCTGTTGTTGGTTTTCTTGCTTCCTGTCAGATCTCTTGCATGTTTACAATGTCCTTGTGTCTTTCTTTGTCCCTCCATTTGCAGGCTGTTAAAGATGCTGTGGGCCTCCCAGTGGCTGTCCAGTGTGTGGCTTTGCCTTGGCAGGAGGAGCTTTGCCTTCGGTTCATGAAGGAGGTGGAGACTCTTGTTCATGAGAAAAGAACACAAAAATGATACATTATGCTTCTTCCTGCAGCAACAATGAAAATGGAAAGAACAAAACAATCTAGCACAATGAAGACTAGAGTATCCCCTTAACCCATCTCTAAAGTATGTTTAGGGCACAGTAA